CTGGTCTTATGAACCTGAACATTTCTGGTCTTATGAACCTGTATTATTTTACCACAGGGATCCCAAACTCCAATCATCGTCAAAAAAACGCTTTATTGGAGAAAAACTAAAAACGTTTTTCAAAAAGCACTAGGTGCTTTAGAAACTATGTTCTTAGCTTTAAATCTTGGCACAAAAAAATTTGCACTTTTTGCATTTTTTCATAGAGAACAAGGCTCTTGAAGTTGAGACCCCTAAAATCGCGTTTTTTCGAAGGTCCCAAATTTTGGTCAATTTAAAAATTCGCTTTTTATGAACAAAATATACACTAAACGAAGGCTGAGGATGAGGGCTTTATGTTTCTGAAGCTATCTTTTCCGATTATAAAAAAGCGACGGTGTAGTGAGTGAAGGAAGTTTCTGGTCTGCAGTCAATAGTCAGCGGTATACTGTTTTTAAACTTTTGCATATTTTTGCATGTTTTTGCCTTTTGTGTTCAACAAAAATTACTCGAATAACACCTTCAATAATGCTCTAAATAACTGCATTTACAAAAATTTGGAAAAATTTTCAGAACGTTGGAAATGAAAAGGCGAAAACACTTCAGTTTGGGTTGCCTGTGGTTTCATTATTTTACCACAGGGATCCCAAACTCCATTGATCGCCATAAAACGCTTTATAGAAGAAAAACTAAAGATTTCTCTCAAAAAGAGCAAGATGTATTGGAAACTCCTTTATTAGCTTTAAATGTTGGTACAAAGATATTTGGACTTTTGGCATTAATTCATAGGAATTTCGAAGTCCCAAATTKTCGTTAAATTATAAATAGTGTTTTTTAGAACTTTTCTGAAATTATTTTTTCCAATCATATGAAAGCAATGGTGTAATGAGTGAAGGAATTTTCTGGTCTGCGTTCGCCTTGTCAGAGGTCTACTTTTTAAAGACTTTTTCATACTTTGGTATGTTTTTGCTTTTCTTTTTCAATAAAGATTACATTAATAATACATCTCACCTATGCGCTAAATAACCGCTTTCACAAAACGCAATTTTTTGTAACTTAAAATTCCTGAAAATTAACAGAAAGCATTATAATGCCTTACTCAAAAACCTAAGGCTTTTGTTTTAAGAAGTTTAAATATCCTCTTACTTTAAAACATTTTTTTAAAACAAACATTACATTTTTTAACGATTTATTAATTGCCATCTACATTGATTGTCCATAGAGACAAAGACATGACACTCAAGGGAGTGGTCATCCTAAAGTCTTGAAAGACGAAGGTGTTTTTGTATAGACCACGCTTTTTAAAAGTACACTTTTCTTTTGCATGCAGATTTTTCATTCTCAAGGGATTCGTAGACATCCAACAAACTTATTCTGCTCCGCCATTTTGAAAAACAACAAGAAGCCATCAAAGTGTTTGAGAAGAAACCAGCCGTAATAAATATCCTAGACGTCTAGAATGGAAGGTAAAGTGAAATATAAACTTTGTCGAACTATTAGGATCATAAAAAAGTCGAAATTCGAAGGTTTTTGGGTAACTATATGTCATTGCTAGCCAAGTTGAAGAACGAGTCGTTTAAAATAAAACTGATTTTGTACCGACGAGCATTTGTAGTATTGTCTTTACCTTTAGAACTGTTTAGATTCTTAGTACATTTATATTTAGTCATACCTAGAAGTACCGCATCAATAAACCATAGAAAAAAACTGATTTTTGTACTTTTTACACCCGCCGATCGTAGAGCATCAATTTCTTCCCTACTCCACCCCCCGCGTGTTTAATTCCTAGATTCCTGTATAGAAAACATGTATTATCTTCTATCCTTAAATTTGAAGCCGAGTTCAAGACAAAGTAACTTATAAATACACACAACATTATAAGCTTTTCTTTCTTAATCTATTTCAGTATAGTAGTGAAAAATTGTGCATTCGGTGTGTAATGACATAGAGAGAATAAGAGAAAAATATCAAATGCATTTGATATTTTTCTCTTAATTATTCTCTCTATTTCAGTATATTCAATTAATTTTTTTATCTATATATCATTATTAGGCTAAACGCAAAGAATCAAAAATGGAAAGACGTTTTCAAGGACCAACAGGAATGAGGGAATCCGGAGTTCAATCGACATGTTTGTTTATTGGTTAAGCAATCAGGTTATAAAAAATATTACAGTTTAAAAAATATGTTCATTTATTTCTGCTGCTTTTTAAATTTTTTAGATATTTCGGATTGAATATTACGTGTTTCACATGTATTTGTTTTGGTGTATAATAAATGAGTTTCAAAATATTTTACCGTTTGTTTATTTCATGGTACACCCCTTTTCAAATTTTCGTCTTTTTCCCGCCAAAAAACTTAGAAAATTTTCAGGCTCCTTGTCACGTGATCTGATCTATGGTTCAAAACTTTTTCCCGCCCAAAAACTTAGGATATTTTTAGCATTTTCATCATTTGCAACCTCAGCTGTGCTTAGCTCACTGAGCCACACTCACTTGCACCTCTTTCGCTTTTGCACTTTTACCCTTTGGCTAACTTAGCACCTCTACCCCACCCATCTAATCCCCCTAAGAACCTTCGGCTAACCTAGCACCTCCACCCTACCCATCTAATCCCCTTCCTTTATTCTGTTAATTACCCCCCTTGTTTCGTTCAGACAATAAACAAGACATTAATTATGCATAAGAATTTTTAATCGGTAATTAATGCAAGCCATTACAAAGCCCTATGATTTAAGGTACATCAATACCATCACTTTCAACAAATAAACTGACAGTATACAACACAAGTGCACAGGCTAATGGACAAGAGGCAAGTTGAAGGTAAGGGTTCAAATCCAGGTAAGGTCTAGGTTTTCAGATGAAAAATTGGACAAGCAAAAAGACAGCCACCCACAAGCAAGGAACAAGGCAAGTCTGGTATTCATCAACAAGGTAAGAAGGTTGGCTCAAAAAAAAAAAAAAAATTGGCTTTAAAGAAAAAAAATTCAAATTGGCTTAAGAAAATTAAAAAAAATTCAAATTGGCAAGAAAAAAAACGAAAAAAAAATAAAAAATTGTGAAAAAAAGTAAAAAATCCCTATAAATTTTGAAAAAATATATACTAAGTCTTTTTGTGATTTTTTTTGCCCCTAGGGTAATTAGACGAAGATCCCTGAGATCAAAAGTTCAAACCTACCCTCCCCTTAAGAAAAAATGGCCCTCAACAAAGCGTTAAGGGCCACCCTTAAGGGTTTGGAATAGGATGAACTGATGACCTCAGGGACAGAGCTTTTGATTAGGATTCTGAAGACAAAGGTGTTGCTTGATTAAAAGACTGGTACTGGAAACTAAAACGAAGCATAAAACTGGTTCTATGCCTCGTATACAGTATTAATTGGTCCCAGTTAGACTTGGAATTTTTCATCTACTTTATCTAATCAGATTGAAAGCCGCCTTAAACTGATTAGAGGGTAGCTTGCATGGAGCTTTATGAAACTCTAAAAGGCCCAATTTTGAATGACTGATTTTAGATACCTCCYAACATTTAATTATTCGATCAATGAAAAGTTCCAGGTCTACACTGAGCCTTACCAGTACTAGTAACAGAATAGACTTAGACAGGATTGCAGCCAACCATGGTGTATGACAAGGTACAGTGCAGTGTGATACAGTATTGTTTTAGGATAAAATCAGAGTTGATTTATTCTGGCACCTCAAGTCTGTACCATGGTTTACTCAATCCTACACAATCTATTCTGCATTACAGCAAGAGTAACAAATGGTATTTTTTTGCTGACCAATCATGGATTGTTTGCAACCGGGTATGTAAATTGAATTTATTCATTTAATTGTTTCCAACTGGGTATTTGCAATTTGAAGTTCAAAGGTAGTGGCAAGAAAAACATATCAAGCCACCTTAACGCCAACATCAGATAAACCCATTTTTTCAATCATTTCAGTTAACAAATCCATTCCAGTGCCTGAAACATGGCAACATACCATTTGATTTGTAAAATAACATTTTCAATTTGAAATCTTTTTAACAAATAAATCTCTTTTCAGAGTCAGACAGAAACCGACTTAGTTTTAGTATACCATTTGTAATTTCTTGTTGTACTTTTAACTCAAGCAACACCTTTGTCAGACTATGAGATGAACACACCAAGCCCTGTGAAATACCAATGCCAAATAAATTTTTTGTTTGATTTTATTTTTTTCCCCGATTAGGTTGTTTGGTACTGAGTAACTTTTCCGTGCAGTAAAATCAAATCACTTATAGTTTTGAGACTTTCCACATTGATGATTAAGTAGATGGAACCGAAAATATATACTGAATTTTGAAGGAAACATCAGATTAAARACAAGTTCTTGCTGATAAAAAAGATGAAATTGGAACTGCGAGATAATTTATGATCCCTTTAAAAATGGGCACTAAGATTTTTTTTAAATCTTAGATCCTAGCTAAACAGCGTAAAAGCTAAACAAAAATATGGCATAGCCATAAAACATCAGTCAATATCCAATTGGAATTTTGTACAGTATTTCTATCTGACCATTGGTGTGTCCACTCATAGTCCTAAGTTTATATATTTTCACCACTTTAAGAATAAATGGAACCATTTCTACTGATGAGTACAAACACTACAAGCAGTTGCAACAGGTAATGGGCCAACAAGTTGACTACATTAGTACAAAATAGGTTCAATTGTACTAAGTTTAAAAAAATAAAAAACGAAAATTGGTGAAGATATGAAAGCCTAAATCTTTCATATATGATACTTGTTGAACTTATTTGAGTGAATTAATTCAATTGACTCATCTGTTGCTCTGCAAGTTTTAGTGTTTGTAAGGTAACTAACAACTTGTCGAAGAAAAGTAATTTAGAAAATTGCACCTTCCAACCAACATCCTCTGGKTAACTTAAAGTGAATGTAACACCAAAATACATGGTCTACCATATTTTTAAATAGCAATGTAAGAGATTCAGAAAAGTAATTGGATGATAAAAGAGGACATTGGTGGAAAAATACAAGACTTAATGCTGGTAAATTATGCACTTGACTTACCGTGTTGAAGRGAGTGAGCCAGGAGTGCAGAATATAGCAGGCAAATTTTTATTAAAGCATCATATACGGTAATCAAAGAAAGTAGAACTACACTATCTCATCAAATATGCTCAAAGGAGAAATTTAAAGCCAACAATAACATTTAAAAATGTCAAATGCAGCCGATTGATCATGAATTTGGTTATTACTGTCTTAGTTGCTACACGCTGATTGAGAAAACAGTTGCGACATGAAAATAGGGAAATACAATTGATAAGAGTATGTAAAGGTACAAAAAACTTTTCTTGATTCTCTTGATCTGTGAGTAACGATAACCAGGACAAGATAGTGTGGTTCTACTGTATCAACAAATGCATCAATGAGAATAACAATCATCATGATTTATACAGTATCCTCTCGCTTACTATTTTTGCAGAACAACTAAAATCAATGAACCAAATGAAAAGCTAAAAAGAGATTATTTTTTCCTTCAATTTTTTAAAAAAGACTTAGAATCTCAGATTTTTTTAGTACAGCAAGAGAATACTGTACAAACTGTAAACATGTCAAACAAAGAAATTGTTTACGAAAAAGCTTTTTTACAAATTTTGGATTCTTGGAATTTGCCAAATCCGATTCAAAAGCAAAAAGAAGGGTGGAAAAAATTAAAGCAAAGGACTTGGAGTAATGAAAATATTCTAACTCAAATTCAAAATAATTTAAAACATATCTTAAATTAATGCTTGTCTCTGGAAAAATTTTTTTAGAAGTACTGTGGTTTGAATAGAATATGCAAAATTTTGAAAGAAACTTTTTCATGTACATCAGTAATCAATCAAATGTAAAATCAATCATTCAATGTGAGACAAATAAAGATCAATAAATATTAGTCAAAAGGCAATCAAAATCATAATCACGCAAATATATATGATATGTAGAGTTGATCCAAGCCAGCCAGTCATCAGGTCCAAAGGAGACATTATATGTGCATAAGTTACCAGCATTTAGTAAATTGTAAGAAAATTCAAAAGATGTGGTCACTTTTCATTTGTAACAAAAAGCTAGCACAACCTTTGATACCTTGAGTTCTTAAAGTGGTGAAAACAAATCTACATACAACAAAGCATTATATGTAGATATATTAAATAATTAAAGATTATACACCAAAGACAAAGTGAAGATCAGCCAATATTTGAGGCAAATACCAACCAGAATCCACTCAATCTGTGGTGAATAAGTATTTAGTAGAATTACACCGGTGCTCAATTAATTCAAAGGAAATTGTTTTTGCTGGTGTAATCTTACTAAATAACATCTAAAACTAACACTTATAGATTCAGCTAGTCTTCTTATCCTTGATAATCCAACTAAAAAAAACAATAAAGTGTCAGTATGATGGTCCTCCAAGGTGAACAAAGCCTAAGGGACCCTTCTTTTTTATCCGGGAGCAGGTGGGGCAGTGGAATTTTTTTGAGGCCATTTTAGATAACTTCTGAACAAAAGCTTTTGTTTTCATGAAAATAAACATGGATGCAGTGTAATTAAAGCCCAAAAGGGGAACACGCATAACAATTCAAGTCGCACCACACTTATACAATAAAAACAATTGGACCATTTTTTTAAATCAACAATGGGTCATGGAGTCAGAGTTCTAGTGTGGGTTCCAAGGATTTTCCACTGCCCAACTCCCTGATAAAAAATAACAGTCCTAAGGGGTCCCTACCAAGGAGAATTGGTCCCCACCCCCTTTTGCAAAAAAATATCTTGTTTGACCGTAGTTTTTATTGAAATAAAAGCAAATGCATAAAATTGGACTGAATGCTTAAACTGCCTTTCTTTTTTCTTAATTTGTTGATGGATATACGGTTATGGTTGAGTCAAATGTTCACATTCCCCCCCCGGGCATACCCCAACCATTTGACCGGAATCAAGTTCCGCAGAGTGGGGAATTTGACGCTGAATATATGTTTGAACGGGCGGGCATTTGACTTTTAAATAAATATAGCGGCCTTCGTCTAATTTGTATAAATTTTCGTATTGCAAAATTTTACACTTTGATCGTGCTTATAGAGGACTCTAGTTCGTCTGCGAATTTAAAAAAATCCAAATACCTTTGTTTAAAATCTGGGATGGCACAAGAGAAGTTAGAAAAGCTTTTTTGGTGGATTCCTTTGCACACTCTTTTTAAAAGAAAGGTTGAACTTCGAATTGATTACGATCTCATTGAAATTGAATCGCCACTGTACAAAAATTTGGTTTCAAAATACAATCTTATACTTACCGCTTCTTTGAAAAAAAGGGAAAGAAAAGCTTGGAATTAAAAAGAAAAAGAAGCAAAACCTTTCAATGTGGTTGGCAGTACAGAACGAGTAGATGAAGATAAGTTTTTGGAGTCCAAAACGATAAACATGAAGTCTTGATTCTTTTAATAAATCACTTTATTTAAGTGTCTAGTCGTTCTAGCGTTTTCGCACTAATTGGGGACACTTTTTGCCCACACGCACTACCACTACATTAATAATGTTTTATGCATACAACGCTCAACTCACATGTTGATTTTTACGGAGGGAGGAAACTGGAGAACCCAGAGAAAATCCTCGTAGCATACAGTAGGAGAGAACAACACATCAAACAAACTCAATTCACATGTGGCGACCGCAGGACTCAAACCAGCGGCCCGACCCGTTGGACTCACAGAGGTGAAACCTGACGTGTTAGCCGCAAACGCCACCCATGCTACCCTTTTAAAATTCTTTTAAAATTCAAGCTATAAATGATAAAACGATCTCAAAAGGAATTTTGCATGAAATTTGTTGTATGTATATGATACAGGCTCAATTTTGTACTTTTTAGGTAAAAATTAGAGATTCATCGGACTGGAGGGGTGGGCATTTGACCACTTAGTGGAGCCTGAACAGTGAGGCATTTGAACATTTTTCCCTAAAAGTCAAATGCTCGGGGGTTTGCCCGGGGGTGGGGNGGGGGGGTGGTGGGAACCTTTGAAATTGACTCATACATTACCAATATTCAAAATTTTGCAGAAAAAAAATAAGAAAAGAATATTAATTCCATTATTTTTGCATTTATGGAGTAGCTATAGAGTGATTTTTGAGTTCAGAACGGGAACGTTTGCAGAACTTTTAGCCGTGAAAGTCTGCCACGTGCGACAACCAAACAAGATGTCAGATTTCAATGCTTATTTAAGCGGTGAAAAATCCTAGAAAGCCTCAAATGAATTTATATAGGAGAAAAACTCAATCTTATCTTAAGGTTTGTCTAGTTTAGCCTAGTTTTGAATCATTTCTTACCGTGTAATGGTCGAAGTTTGTGTCCACACCTCGAAGCTTCACTCTTTCTTCTTGTCAAAGAGACCCTGAAGCATGATGGGTACGCGTGCTTCACTACCACAGGAAGCCCATGGTATGTTTTTTGGAAGACGATGACGAAGCTAAATTAAAAAGAGTAAAGAGTATATATTGATATAGTCATTGCTGCTGCTATGTAGACATCAATCCATCTTATCTGTTTCATCCATCTATTTTATCCATTTCCCCCATCCATCCATCCATCCATCCATCCATCTCATCCATCTCTATATTGAATGTAAAGTAAATATACAGCATTTAACTCTTTGCATGTAGTTAGTATATTGTTTCAGATGGAATAAACTAAAAATAATAATAATGATAACTTAATAATAACTTTATTCTATATAGCGCCATTTCCATTTCTGTCCAATGGCGCTTTACAAATTACAATTAAACACTAAAAAATATGCGGTAAAATAATTAAGAATTATATGAAGATGTTAAAATATATATACATTAAAATTTATTTTCCCAGTTAGACCCAGCCTTTACACCAAGCCCCACATGCGCCGAATCCAACGCAAACGAGCGACGATTGGAGTAAATAGAATGAATAATTATTATAAGTATATATACACAGGTGATCATTGAAAACCTCGCGCGCCGATACGATGATCACCTCCAGCGATAATCCAAAATGGCGGCTAGCCGCTTTGTTGCTGTTACCGGGAAAAAATGTCTTTTATCTTCTCTTTTTCCCTCCTTTTGAAAGAATCACCTGTGTGTATTTATACTAAAACAATTATTCACCTCAGGCTCAGTGAATATCGTAAATGATAACCTCAACTTCGTTTCGGTTATCATTCCCCGATATTCACTGAGCCTTCGGCGAATAATTGTTAATTAATCCTACTTTAGACAATGTCACTATGACCCACGATGCATATCTTTTGTGAAGTAAATATTACTGCTATAAAACGGTATATATATAACAGTTTCTGCAACTGAGTTTCATATTTCTTCCCTCTATTTTGGATCTTTTTGCAAGTACTGGTTCACGTTTCTGGTAAGCGAGGGGGAAGTCTACAATTTGATGATTTATATGTACATAATGATCAAGTTGTATGATAATGTTGTCTAAATATGCGGCTTGGGAATTCCAATGCTATGCATAGCAATGTCTCCACTTTCTCTGGCGATCTGGCTTTTTGGATTAACCCTAAGCTTTCGAAGGTAACACTTCCTCAAAATGAGACCCAATACAGGACTGATGATGGCTAAACCCAAAAGAGTGAAACCAATGGCCTTTCCAGTATTATACATTGGTCCTTCAGGTGCTTGTTTGATGTCAGTGGGCCTTTTCGATGAAGATGAAGCAGCTGTAGTGTCGTCTTCTACATAAAACGTATCAGGAAAAAACTGAGTTGTTTAATGTACATGTAACTGAATACCTATGAAACTCACCACACAAAATCATTGCCAGCAAAGAAAATTCAAAATAAACAAAAAAGGTCAAGATCAAGATTAGCTTAGAAATTTGTGAGAGGAAAAATAGGTAAACTACATTAATTTCGTTGTCATCCTGAAAATTGTCAAGAAAGCGACTCAATGTAAATTAACTGTTGAAATGCTTAATGAGAATAATTGAAAATAACCAGTTTAAAAAAATGCCATGGCATGCTTAAAATGCTTTTGCTTTGATGGAATCGGCCTCCTTTTTCAGTGTTGGGCGTATTCTTTTAATGAGAAGGAGTTTCATTAACAAGGTATTCATGTCTGCCCTGTACTGGCACTTTGCAAGACGACAAAAGCTTCCCTGAATCTTTTTAGAAACCCTCACTTGATATTTCGGTTTTTTAATTATTTAGTCACCCTTAATAAGTTGCGAAAATTTTATTGCTAGCATAGTTACTGTAATTGCCCTTATCTGTAATCTGTGTGTCGCGCAGGGAATAGGCAAATATATTTCAACAATTTCATATATGATTCCCAGCAAAAAAAAAATGCTAGTTGAAAATGTGATTATGAATGAAGTTTCAATATTCAGGTAAACTTATCAGGCTAAGAAATATAAGAATTCTATACCTGTAGTTTCCTGAGATGGCTGATTCGTTTTTTGAGTTGAGATATTGATGATTTGTGATTTAACAACAACAACTGTGGAGGGTTTAGACGTTGGTTCCTCTGTCGGAATCACAGAGAGTTTGACGACCTTCGATGAAGCGCAGGGAGGGTCTCCATTGTCCATTGCAATTACCTCAAATTCATATACAGCTGGTGGAAGGATCCGTCTTGAAATAATCGTACCATTTATGGGATCAATTTCAAAGTAACTGCGCATGTTCGATGGAATGATACTGTGAATAACATATCCATTGTCTCCGCTGTCAGCGTCCGTTGCATGGATCGTGAACAAGACAAAATTCGTGGTTTTGACGTAAAGCAAGGTGAAGTCAATGCTTGATGCCGGATAATCGTCAAATACTGGACAGTTATCATTGGTGTCTTCCACTGTTAAAAACACATTTACTGTCGAGAACTTTTGTGGAAAACCATCATCTGATGCAACTATCTCGACTTTTAGGTGTCGTATTTGGTTTTCGTAATCAAGGACGATAGCTGTTGAAAGGGCACCTGTCATAAAGTTCAAAGCAAATGCACGACTAAATTGGTTCGGAACAATAGAATATAGTATTTTCCCATTTCGACCAGTATCAGAGTCGTTAGCGATCAGCATTCCAAGTAGTGTTCCAGAGGGCATATTTTCTTTCAAGGTGAAATTATACTCGCTGACATTAAAAACTGGGGAATGCAGATTTGGTGGAGCCGGTTGATCACAGTACTTGCCATCGTATCCCCGGTAGCATTCACAAGTGTTTGGTGCAATGCAGTCTCCTTTTTGAGAACAGTCTTTATAAGCAGTACAGTTTGGAATGGTACAGGCGGCTCCATACCACAGGCCTGAGCAATTGCAAACATCATAATCAATGCATTCACCTCGCCCTGAAAAAAATCACACTGTTTACTAGGTAAAGCTTTGGAAGGTAATGTAAGAGATGTAAGGCATACTGACAGCAGTAAACCTCATTTAGTCTGGGGCTATTTCAAAATTAAATTTAAGAATAAAAACTGAACGTTTCACACAGTTACGTTAATCTAAAATAGCTGGGTCCAGTGGACTAGGGTTCATTTCCTCTTAAAAGGCTTCGTATCCAGAATTTTATTCTCTTTTTCTTCCTTTGCATTTCAGGTGTTTGGTTTATGTCAGACACTGTGAATGTATGTTTCTTCCTAAAGTAAGGCCCTGGCTAAACGAGGAAACAAGTTTCCAGAAACATGTTTCCCGCGCGCAAGTTCCCCAATGATTCCAAGATTAGCCACATGCGAAACATTGCTACGTGCAGCAAATTTTGCTTCCAAGACGCAAACATATTTCTGCTGTGCGGCAGAAACATGTCATGGTTCCAAGACGCATGATAAACAATGTTTCCCAATGTTTCCTCATTTAGCCACGAAAGTCAACATTCTAAAAGTCAACATTCTAAAAGTTCGTTACTTAGCAACGCTAGCTCTATCTTGAAAGTGCGCATGCGCTAACCGATATTGAGTAAACATGTTTCCCGATGTTCCCTGACAGTTTTGCCACCTTTGGAAACATTTAAGAAAACATGTTTCTGGAAACATATTTGGACCTTGTTTAGCCAGGGCCTAACATATCAATATAGTTGCGGTTGCAATAAATTAAGATACACTCTTCTTTTTCATTTTCCTTTTGGTTAATTGCTCCTCTGTTTTTCCTTTCTCTTTTCTTTCGATGGGAATACCTACCCGAACAGAAGTTCAGCACCTCGCAGGAGAAGTTGCTACAGTCATACCCAGAGTATCCAATGGTACAGTTACAAAGGTTAGCATCAATACATTCTCCATGGTCAGTGCAGTTATGGACTTCTGCACATGATGTTTCATTACATGTTGGGCCACTGAATCCAGAAAAGCATCTACACAAAATATATTTATTAATGAAATTCCAATTAGTTAACACTTGTAAGTTAATTAATATCGATTATTCACTTCATTGGTTTTAGAGAAATAAATATTTTAGCTTGGCGTGATGTTCCCATTTCAGTACACGCGTAGTTTCGTGTTTAAACGTAATCTGTTTTAATATTTTCTTCATAACCGTAAGGGGAAAGGAGGAAGCAAACTCAAGAGAATGAGATTTAACATGCAAAGAAAAAATATGCGCCAAAACTCAATCTGCCTATTTTCCTTCATCTGATGAAGGAAAGTGTGCAGTGAGAGTATTCTTTTACCTGCATGTTGAGTTTTTTCCGTCTGTATTTTCACAAATGCCACGATTGCTGCAGTTTAATAAAGAAGAGCAGTCGGATGGCTTGCTGCAGTCTTCGCCCTGAAATCCAGGTTTACACTTGCACTGATTGCTTGATATGCAGTCTCCATTTTGAGAGCACTGGTTGACGTCTGGGCAGTCAGGAACACCACAACTAACTCCGGTCCATCCTCGGTCACACTTACATTCGTAAAGTTTTACGCATCGACCGTGACCTAAATACATAAGATGGCATTAATGTAAGTTATTAAAGACTAAGTGTACGTGTTTATGGTGAAACGACGAATAAAGTTGTACCTGAACAGAAAGATAGATCGTGACATGAAAATTCTGAGCAGTTTTGGCCTGTCCATTCCTTGTTGCATTTGCAGACGTCAAAATCAACGCAGACTCCATGGAATGAGCAATTTCTAACGGCATAACAAGTAGGCACAATGCTACAGTCCTTTCCTGATTTTTAAAAGGAATGATGGGTTTTCAAAAAACTGTTAATTTAGGATGGATGTGAAAAATAAATCCTTACGACAATGGCGCGATAATGCAATATCATGGAATAGAAAAAATTGAATGATCGTTCTTATTTATCCAAAGCGGAGTTATAGATGCTTACCTGTAAATCCATCATTACAATGACAGACKTCAGAAGTCTTGCATTTCCCGTGAAGGGGACTTGTGCAGTTGTTTAGATTCAAACACGTAGCTGCATTTAATAGAAAGGGTGAGTTAAATATATTACTAGTTTTTATATTGAATCATTTGTAAATATAGGCTAAACGTATCAAAATATTGCTTGGACTTAAGCTTTGTTCACCAATGCAAAAGAATGATGGCGATAATAATGAAAACCCTATTAATTATTGAGCGGTTTTCGTATGGGTGGGCGGAAGCAATACCGACGACAAAATCGTAGCTGTACTTTAGCCGTACGGAAAATTACCGTAGCCGTAATCACGCGTACTCGTTGTGATTGGGTGGATTACTGGGAGACAATGAGAAGCCGTGTATGTGCTGTGAGCCAGTACCGTATTTTTCCCGTGAACTTATACAAAAACCACTCTCAAAATTATGTTGGTAGTTTGATAACGATTGTAAATAAAATGGCTATGGCCTTAGCGATGGTAGTGGCAATAGCTATTCTATTATATAAAAGGGTACACAATAAAAAAATATGAGAGTGAAGAACCAACTAGAACTAGGAATTACGCCAATGGCGACATGACTGAAACGCTATAATGAAAATCTCATGAGATTCATTTGACTGACTTGGAAGAGATTTCTTTATCAGTGCAAAAGCATCAAGGTATTGCATTTGTCTTATACAGCATATTTACCTTCTTTGTCGCAGTTTTCTCCTTCCCAGCCTGTATTACAGTAGCAAAAACCATTGATGCATTTGCCATGCAACAGGGAGCAATTAGCACATTGTCCTAAGCAAAACGAATTAAGTCGAATTAGCAGCAAATATATATATCATATCCAAATAGGTAGTATAATGTTTTTAATATAAACTTACCTTTTTCGCAGGCTTTACCCGACCATCCTTCAATGCATTCACAGGTTTTGTTTACGCAGCGGCCTCGCCCAGAACAAACATTTTCACAACCTAATGATTCAACAAACCATTGTTAATAACTTTAGGCTTCTTCAAAGGTGCCCTGATGCTATCAACATGAATGGCTTTTTCGTCTATTATGTTTTAAAATTTTTCTGTCAATATGTCATAATGCTTTAAATGTTATGGGTTTTCAATTGGATGCTTTTCGATAAATTAAAATACCTTGCTGCAATGTTTCTTGTTCAGAAAGGGTCGTGTCATTCGTAATGGCGACGTCATACACACAGCCTTTCAGCAAATCTCCAGCCAATCCCATAGATGAGCACACAAGTATCGCTTTCTGGAATTAGATAACAAGCAAGAGCAATAATGGAAAGCAAATAAATGGATGAAAAAAGGAACTAGCAAGGAAGCAAGGAAGCAAGGAAGCAAGGAAGCAAGGAAGCAAGGAAGCAAG